TTGTTAGCTGAGTGAACAGAAAGGGTTAGAAAACATAGTTCTGTTTCTTTGAAATATAATCTAAATCAGAGTAACATCCCCAAAAGACAGAGACACTTTTACCATTTCAGGCTTTCAGGTTCAAGAGGGTCAAGAGGTACAGGAATTAGGAACAGCTAAGTTATAACTAATGTCATGGGGATGCAGAACATCTACCAGGAATATTAACATTTAACACAACAACATGCAAACTTGAGTTTTAGATTAACCACCAGCAAGGAGGAGTTTATACTCGATAGTTCCTTATGGGCTAAAATTCCCAGCATTTACTTTAATATTATTTTGGTAATGTTATATATTATCTTCTTATTTTCTCCATTTTTGATCAACAGGAAAAAGAAGGTCAATAATAACTTAAACAAGTATATTTAATAAATATTGTTTTCAGTTAAAGACAAAATCATCACAGATGAGCTTTTCCATGATATTTGTTAATGAAATCCTGCACACTGTCAGCTTGTACTCACTTTTTAACATTTCTGCTCTCAGACCTTCATCACATAAAATGTATATAATTGTTTTTGCCTCTATTTCTCTTAGAATTTAGTTAATTCTACATGTTTGTGTATTTATTGTGATTGTAAAGCACAAGTCCTACATAAATAAGTAAGTTAGGTAAATCACTTCAATAGGTGTAGCATTTTCAAGATCATTGTGGGTCTGAAGGTACGATATAAAAAGGCACTATATTGAAGTGTGGAGTTTTTTTTTTTTTATTTTTTTATTTTTACCATTTTCTTAAACATCATTGTGACTAAAGAAACCGCTCAATATCCACTCTGAAAGCTGTGGGTTCAACCCCTGCAGCAATCACCCTCTTCCTGAGGTCCTTGAGCAAAATGTTGAAATCCTGCTGTCCGGTATCATTTAGTTAAAGGCCTGTCATGTCAAACTGATAAACACATCCCATTTACAAGTTTTCTGGCTTTTTGGGGTGCTAAGCATGAAGTCCATTGTTAAGTGTTGAATTGAGAAATCTTGTGATTTGTGCCGTTTTTCCGCCCCAGCAGTGTTATTAAAATGAAGATAAATTGCAGCCAGTCCCAGAGACATTTTCTTCAAAAGAAACAAAGCCAAATGAACACCGAAGATGTATAAAATGCGCTTTGTTCATCAGAGGGAGGGAGGGAGGGAGGGAGAAAAGACTCCACTCAGCGAGCTCTGAATGCTGCATTTCATGCCTGCAACAATTATGCTGAAAGGTCAAGTATTACAGCATCTTGTGCTCCGCTTTGCATGCAAAGTATTTCAGTTCACAAATGACCCTCGTTTGCGCTCTTTGAACAATGGCTTGAAGAACCACATAAACGTAGGACAATTAAAGATTTTTGGTGCTAGCTGACAATAACATTTACCAAAGGGGGTGATTGCAGTTGCTGTGTAATTGTCCTATTTGTAATGCACATGAATGCCTGCTGCAGTGAAATGTTTAGGAACTTAAGAAAGAGGCACGAGAGTGGCTGTGCTTTAAAAGAACAAAAACTATTATTTTTATAATCTCTAAATAAGGTTATTATGAGATTGCATTTGGAAAATAGTTTCCTAGAGTTTCTGATGATTATTGAAATTTGTGCTGGATTTTTTAAACTTGATTTTACACATTAGGTTAATATATATCTATATATACATTTTAGTTTGTATTTCCCGTCTTTGTGCTGATTATTTCAGTACCGTGGACAGCACCAAGTCTGCCTCTTAAAACAGAAAACATACACAAAATAAAACTATAACTGATAACATTTTTAAAACTAAAATAAGCCACTCTGAAATTCACTGCTAACAGTTTTTTTTTATCTTTTTATTTGATTTGTTGTTGTTGTTTTATTTGAGGTTTATGAGAGCTTCTACTGCACTAAATGCAAGCAAATCGCAGCGCAGTGTTAATGCAACACATGATATTCGGAAATATTCATCAGTAGGAATATATTTAAGACTTGCTCACTTCAAATCAATCAACGTAGACGCCTATGTTTTTGTCTATTTCTTGTATTATTGTTAATGTATTAGTTTTGATATTTCAACAGTTTTCACATTTGTTTCTCAAGTCTACCATTAAAATTGTATTCAGTCTTACAAATTTAAGTGTAAGATCTGTGACTCTTGCTTTGGAGGAACCGATTATTGTACACAAGTAACAATGCAGAAATATCCATCTTCAAGTGATTTAATAATTTAAAAACCTGCAGTATCCTGAGAATGTGTCATTTACTTGATGCACTACGGAAACTGACACGTTTATCATAAAACAGTGACAAAGCACAATGCATAATTTCCGTGTGGAAGTTGCCACGTGTTCAATAAAAATCTAATTTTATTCTTTAAAACAATATAATTTGCTTTGCCGACACTTCTCAAACCCACTGTCAAGATTTAAATCAACTCTAGCTTGTTTACTGTCTCATGGAATTTATTGCAACGTCAATTTTAAGACGCACACATTTGATATCCCCTTAAACTTTAACTTAACTACATTCCCACTCATACAAACAAGACAGCATTTCTGGATGCCACAAAGCTAAATAGGCGAATAAAATTCAACATCTAGTCACTAACTCAAATATGATTACCTTGAGATTAGGGACTAATTGCTTGGGGTTCATGGAGACCAGCCCACCATAAAGCCAGGAGGACTTGGGGAGTTGCACTGTGGGTTTCTACAAAAGAGAGCGATGAGAGCACACACGCTTCCAACAAGTCATTCTCAACAGCTACAAGCTGCACACAAAGACCACACACCGCGCCAAAGACATGTTAATGTAATTCCAAAGTTCTCACTTTTCTCCCGAACAAAACCAGCTCTGCAAAATACCTAATAGAAGATAGTTTCTGATGCTGGTAAGATTTCACTTAAAAGTCCGCCAAAAGGGCTTTTTTGGGGGGGGCTGTCTGGTGGCCTAAAACTGCTGTAGGGCTGCTGCTGGTTAAAATGATACAGATTAGAGAGGAGGCGAATAAAGACGTTTAGTGGGGGGGAAAAACTCACTTTCTCAAACCAAACAACAAACTTTCTTTTAAAAGTTACATGTCAAAGGATTAAAAGTGAGTGTCGCGTGAAATTATTATCTCCAGGAAAATCACTCCACGTGTTTATAGTGGTGCACTACACTTCAGTATGTGAGCCTAAAGGTGCTGCAGAGTCCGAGTCAAAGCCCCCAAAACCTCTAAAGGTTTATAGAAAAGAGGAACACGTCTTTAAAGGTTGGTAAACGCAGCAGATCAAATATAATTTTACAACATAATATATTATAGTTATGGCTGGAAAATGCAGCCTGGATAATGTAAAATGAGAGCAATAGACGGGATAATGAGCAGCAGTCAGGTGCACACTGGGCCTGCAGGGCTACTGCAGCTGCGTGTGACCGATGACCGATGACCGACGCCACTTTTGGACAACACACCTTATTGCCTAATTTTATTTCATATGTGGCTTCACTGATCGCCTGTGTATCTCTGTAGCTTACCAGAATGCCATGTTACAAATATATACAAACAGCAGAATAATCAGACACGTGTCGACCCGATTAAGGTCTGTTTGCAGTCTCAAAAAAACGAGGCGTTTTGGAGATATTTGAAATAAAGCTTCATTGTCTTTAAAAAAGAAAAAAGCTTATACAAAATTGCAGAAATTATCATTTATCTAAAAAAAAACGGATAACAGGAGCATTTGCGCATCAACTCTTAACTAAACGAAGCTATGTAGCGTTTTTTAAGGGGAAGTCACGACATTTAGGCCTTCAGCTAAATCTCTTAGAATAAAATAAAAAGCCTTTCTTTTTTAAAGTATCATCAAATTATTTCAGCGCCATATAAAATCAGAGGAGCTGTATTGTATCTCATCCAAACCCCAAAACTATTCGAAATTACAGCTGTAGGACGACACTGAAATTCAAAACAACTTATTTAAAGCCATAAACGAAAATCACCTGTCGTTACCTCCGTCGCTTGGCAACCACACTGTTTACAGTTAATACTTATAGCGCTATTAGGTGGCGGGAGAATAGTCCCTAATGATTATTATAGCCTATATATACAGAGCCTCCACCTAAAGAGAAATAAATTACTGGTTGTGTGTTTTCGTTATTGCGGCCGGTTAAAAAAAAAAAAACTAAATTGCGTAAAATACAGTCTAATGTTTTTTTAAAAAAAATGTTTGTGGAGACTCGGTGCTGGTTTGTTATTGACACCGGACCCAAACAGCCTTTCGTCGTTTCCTTTCAATTCCATGATTGATTATTGATAAACCAGCTGATAGGCCCCGCGGCGACAGTTATTTGAGAAGAATACTGTGCTGTTTGGTCAGGGATTTCCATCGATAAGCTGTTCTTTGCGCAGCGTTTTGTGTTTGATGTTGGTGAGCCGACAGACCTCACCTTTCTGACTCACACAGTCAGCATATAGAAAACACACACCGAGCGCTTCAAACACACACAGAGAGAGAAAGAGAAAAGAAAAAACTGCACATAAAGGCTCCGTTTACTCTGCAGGGGCATGCTTGTGTGAGCTGCAGCCTTTGACGATAAGCCTGAGCGGTGTGTGATTTGTCACAGAATAAAACATTTTTAAAAAAAGAGGCCCTAGTGTTTAATCGTCATGTCAGAATAAGAGCCTGAGTGTTGATAAAGTATTTAATCTGGTCAGTTTGCCAAAATGGACCCGATTAGGCAACATGGAGACCTGGTTCTTCTAAAAATAAGAAAAAAAAAAATTGTCATCGTAGAAAAAATGCAGCACATTTTCTCACAATAATCCCAGGAATCAATAAAGATTTCGCCTCCTTAAAAGAGAAAAAATAGCTATAATAGAAGACGAGCAAATAATAATAATAATAATAATAATAATAATAATAATAATAGGCAACCGCACTGGTTTCATTTTTGCTGTACTATTTTTTGTCGCAAAGGAATATTTTTCGGCATTTAACACCGCATATGTTGACATATTTCACAAAAAAAGCTTAACTGTCTTGTTTCCATAATTTATTAATAGGACTGTTTTGTAGTAAGTCAAATATCTATATAAGTTACAAAGAAATAAAACGTACAAATACCAATGAAACGACAACAAACCGGCAATAGGGTCAAAAACTTTGTACAACAGATAGCTAAAATTCAAACCTTTTACAGAAATATACAAGCTAGATCTACGGCTTACATTAAATTCTATTATAAATCAGAGTCATGTGTGTCTGTGTGTTTGTGAGGGGGGGGGATTTAAGCACCCATATACAGCAGTTTGAGTGTATATGCCTTCCTGTTCAGGTTCACCTTTTTCCCAACTAATGCGGCCTATAATGACTGCTGATTCTTCTTTTGTCTCAATATAATTTACATAAATAAATCCCAAGACTTTCACATCCGCAGTTTTCTGGTCAAAAGTGTTTTTTTTTTTGTTTGTTTGTTTTTTTTCCCCTCCTTCACTTCCTTCCAAAAAGGTGAAAATTCAAAGAAGAGCTGCACTGCGCCGATTTCTCTCGGCTCTTGTTCAAATGCGCACATTTACAGTGAAACTTGTCGAGTCTTGAAAGAAAAAAGTCTTTTTTTCTCTCTCTCTCTCTCTTTAAATAGAAGAATTGGTTTTAAAACATAGCCGGCGCCTCTTGTCACCACGTCCTGCCGTATAACAGGGCTGAACACTGCAGGGCCGAGCCGTACTCTGCGCCGGGGGAATTGAGGTGGGAGAGGCCGGCCACTTGGCTCTGCAGCGACGGAGGACTGGAGGAGTGCGGCGCCAAATCTGGAGAGTGACCTGTGCTTCCCACCTGCTGGCTCTGATGCTGCCCGAGGCCGGACGTGTTGTTGGACATGATCATGACATTGCCCCCTTGCTGGTGGTGGGTCTGTGCGGAGGATGTGGGCGTGTGGCCGCTGCCTTGGCACGGCTTCCCGTCCTTCACCAGCACCGGCACGGCCACCCTCCGCGGGGACTGCTGCTGCTGCTGCTGCTGGCAAGAGCCGCTGTCCTGCTGCATCTGCTGCTGGGACACTTTGTCTTTCGCCTGCCTCTTCATCTTGTACCGGTGGTTCTGAAACCAGATTTTCACCTGGGTCGGGGTGAGGTGGATCATACTTGCCAGGTGCTCCCTCTCCGGCGCCGACAGGTATTTCTGCTGCTTGAAGCGTCGCTCCAGCTCGTAGACCTGCGCCTGGGAGAACAACACTCGCCTCTTTCTCCTCGGGGTGCTTGACAGAGAGCCCATGCCTTTACCTACGTCTGCCAGGGAGCTGAGGCTGCCCATGCTGCCCATGTTCATGCCCGACGAGGAACCCATGAAGCGAGAAACTGAGGAAAAAACACACAATTAATACAATGAAATTACTACACAATGCAAAAATAAGTCTGTCTTTATGTGAAAAACCCTTTAAATCCGACAATTGATTGATTTTTTTTTTTATGGATAAAACTATGTTATTATGATTAGCATTAATGTAATTCCAACCCTGCTAATTATTTTCATGGATGTCACAAAAAGGGCCACTCAGCATGGTCTGCATTTTGACAAGCAGCTGAGTAAAATTAGCCTTAAACTGCTTCCCAAAGAGGCAGGTGCCCCTATCCATAAAAACAAACTCTAATGCGTGTCAAAGTCCAGATTCACACACTAAACAGTGAAATCTATCAACTAAACCTCTGCAGCAATAGCTCCTGACTGACAGCATACTATTATTGGACTAATGTGATAAACTAGCCAAAGCTTAGAGGGGAATTTTCGGCATGAATGCTCCTTATGGGGAGACTTGATTTAGCTTCATCTTTGCCCTCCCTGATAATACAATTAAAACCTAGCGGGTGAAATCTACACTGGAGGGGTTTGGAGAGCGCACACTTTGGCGCACAAACAGAAAACAGGTGACAGACACAATACAGCGAGCACTGAAATTAAAACACAAAAACGAAGCATGCAACACAGGGCTGCATTTCAGCTGCGTACACCGTGCTATAACTCAAAGGCTGGAGTCAAAGTACAGGTGCAGGCTACTCACTGGTGGAGAAGCGCGGGTCTGGGTTGGCTCCGTACCAGCCGGTGGCCGTGGTGCTGCCCCTCATGCCGTCCTGGTAGGACGGCAGGTCGCCCATGTTGCCCAGGTTGCCGTTACAGTAGCCCCCCATCGCCGTGTGTGACAGCTGAGAAACACCTGCCGCAGTCATATGGTAAGCCGCAGACACAGTCCCATTATGGCCCATGTGGTGCTGCTGCATCGCCGCCTGAGAGACCTGCGGCTGCCGGTAAGAAGTGAGAGGTGCCCCCAAGTTGTTATTCTCCATACTTACTTTCTTATAGCTCTCCTCAAGGGGACTCAAGATATCGGAAACAGAAAAAGGAGTCGTATGCTTAGGGCTCATCGACATTGTTCTGTGGCTGGAGAGGGAGAAATTAGAAGGCAAGGCAATCTCTCCTTCTCTCTCTTTTTTTTTTTTTTTTTTTTTTTTTGGCCAAAGCCCCTCTGGTTCCTGTTGTCTCAACGTCGATCCTGGTAGATGAACACGTAGGAGAGCGCCTCAAGTCCGCCTTAATTGGATTGAGTGGGAGCTCGGTGCTGGCTTTGGTTTGTTTTAGCTGGGTGCCAGGTTTAAGGCTACCATCAGAGGCGGGGCATCAGCAACAATACCAAACAGCTCTAGCCTCCTTTCGCCGAGCGTAATTTCACTTACAAGACATGTGCTCTCCTCCCACTAACAATAACATAAGCGCTGTAGCCTACATGATCATAAATGTTCATCCCGGAGGCTGCAGGCGGTGTCCGGACTCGCTGCAGCTGCTGTATTCGGAGTTTGTGACTTGTTGCTGTCGCTGATAAACACACGGCTGCACCTTGAGACTGCCACTGACCACAATACACTTTATTAACTGTAGTGATGTTTACGAGGGCCTCTTGATGAAAGGAGGCCTATATGGACTTGAGAGTTGGAGAACCACTCCTCAGTTGAACTACTGACTTTTAATGGCCATGAGAGGCCTCCAGTGATTGCAGGATTGTTTGTGTTATGCCTTATCGTACTCAGACATGCAAAAGTGCACTTGCGGGGAGGGAAATTGACTGATACTGATAAGTAAATAAATACACATCCGCGTGTTAAGTGGCTGCGTAAATGATTAACCCCCCTCGTTCTTTTTTTTCTTTTGATATCATTGGACGCAAGCAGCATGTTACCTAAATTCAGATGCACACACTTGTCTAAGAGACACACTGGAAGAAAGGAAAAAAAAACAAACAAACAAACAAAAAAAACACAACAAAATAGAGTCTGGAGTAGGAGAGGCTCTTATGTGAAGTTAACGGCGTTCAAGTACTCTCCTGCAGCACAACGCCAGGTAGCCCTCAGTAGCATCTTGCCTTAATGCTTAGGGAGCCATAGCAGTTTAACTCGATCATATCTCATTTCTAAAAAAATTACACAGGAGCACAAGGAAGGATTTTTGGCTCCATCCAACCAGCGCTGAACTCAAGAAATGGTTCTCTCTGCCTTGTTTCAGAGCCAAAGTCTACTTTTACGCACAACTTTTAGGTCACTTTTTCTACACTTTTGACCCCAAAATAGGACTTCAAACTATTTTGAAACCATAAAATTGGCAACTCACACTAATAATTTTGTATTTGTGTATTTCTATTAGCATTATTGGTATTATTATTTTTAATAATATTACATTTATATTAGAATTTGCTATTACCAACAGTACATTTTAAAGGTGTTATTTTAATGAACAGCAATAGAACATTATTTAACACATCTGACAATATTTTAATACAAAGCTATAGCCATAAGTACAAGTCATTATTCGGCTACTAATTTACCTTCCTGCTTTTTTAGATCCAAAATTACTAACATACGACATTAGAAAATAAGCAGTGAAGATTTCAAATCGACACAATAACTTCTAACTTACACAATCTGTGGATGTCAGGATCATGCCGGAGCTGAAACTATGGCTACTGCAAAAAAAATAAATAATAATAAATCAAATGTTATGAATACATTTCGGTTTTGTAAAAGGTCTTGCCAGGAGGTCTAACGTCAGTCTTGCAGCAGCAGCAGCTCCGAACAGAAGACGTCTGAGCCTGCAGCTTGAGCCGATATTTCCTTATACAGGAATTAAAGAAACACAGCGTCTTCTGGTGGCAGACACAATCATTTGTAACATTGTGATCAGCTTTTATTCCACAGTGACTCTAAAACGTGTGTTTCTTGTTTCATTTCTAGAATAAAAGTGGAGATATGTTTTAACTAGTTGTATTTTCTTTTTCTCTCTCTCTCTCTCTCAAATAAATGATGATGATGACCCTCAGCAACAAGCTGTCAAACTAAAGCCAGGCTCAGCAGCAGCAGCAGCAGCAGCAGTGTGAGGGTGTGTGGAGTAAAGTCCTATTACTGCAGTGACATGCAGATCACTGACAGTTTGTCACGGGGATCATCAGACACAGTTCTGTATTTTACAGGCTTCTGGCTACATATTTCACGGCTGCTATAAGTGAGATAATCTGCGCAGAGCTGTATGGAGGCACTGGTCCAATTTAAAGAGCCCTACACACCATACACATCACAACAATCCATATCCGCCTATTGCCTCACAATTATCTTTAATGAAACAATATTATCATATAGTCCAAGCCTAAATATTACAGTTAAAATAAATTGTTTGGATGATAGCCGAGGTGCGGTGCGCATAATTCGCAGGCCATATAATCGCAGGCAATTAAAATTACAGCATGTTTCTGCATCCAAGGTAAATCTTGCTTATGCCTTCCTTAATTACGGAATTTCGCAAGACATTCTTAATCATCTAAATCAGTACCTTTTTACTGTTCTGGCACACGGCTATTATGGCCAATTAGCGGCAATTAGTCCAAATGTTCCGACTAATTCCTCAGAATAATGAGGACACTTTGAAGTGGCGGGTATGAGGCTACTGAGACTTTGTTATCGAGGCTTCAGGTTGTTGTTTATGAACTGATTGGTGCATGATATAATCCAGAGAGCAACTTCAGACGGGGGAAAATAAGTGTGTGCAATGAAAACTAAAAAGAAAGTTATTAGTCATATAAATATATAAAAAAATCAACAATAGTTTCCTATAAAGATACAAAATATTTATGATCGCATATGAATAGCAAGAGCTTAAAAAATGTAATTAAATGCACCCCAAAAGGAATAAATATTAAACTAATCTATCCATCAAGTGCAAATAAATGTCACCCAATATCCGCTAATGATCCACAAATTGATCTCCAAGGTTACATTAAAAAAGATGAAAGCATCCGCACACTTTATCTCCGCTGAGCATTTTCTGCGGATGAATAACAAACTGTAGATCTAATGATGTTACATTTGGGCTATTCTGCCTTCAAAACCCACATTGGGGTCTATATTTATTAAAAACAGTTACGTTAAATGTCATCAATATCGCCTGCGTCGTGCATGTCTACAGCCAAAAAAACACAAGGATTATAATTGCCTCCTCTTGCTCTGACTGTACTGGCTCCCTTAAAGACTTATTTATTCCTCAAAACTTTTAATGACTTTTTCCTGTTTCCTCCAACTCTATCAACTCTTGTTCTACCAGGAAATGAGCTGCAGCAGAAAAAAAAAAAAATACAGACTCTGACAAGGTGACAAAAGAAAGAAGAAAAGCTTCACCATCACAGATGAGCCTTCAACTGATGATGACCGAATTAATAATAAATAATAAACCCTCATTATTCAACCAATGCAGTCACATTCTGAAAAGAGGTGGAGATGTTAAAGGTTCATGGTGCAGATATTTCCAGCTGTACTCCAAAAAAAAAAAAAAAAAGGCAAAAGAACAGGACTCATTAGAGGACAAGTGAGTTTGCAACACAACCCTTGAGCAAATACTCACGCATGACGTCACACCGGGCAGCCACACGTCACTACGGGCGGCCATCTTTCTGCACCCAATCAGCAGCCCTGAGAGCAACATAGTAGTGGCGGTGGGTTTTTTTCCCAGTGAAACACGACCCCTGGTGGCTCACTGGCAGTTTTCCTCCTAAAGAACTTAAACACACAGTTTGGTCACATTCACTGCAACATGTGAGGAATTATACAGAGTGTTAGTGCGCCATCTAGTGGAGAGTTGGATCACCAACACGAAAATACTTTTTTTCTGAATATGGTGAAGATGTCAGCATTTCACCACAATCAACAGCGTAAATAGCTTTCAGTAAGTGCACACTTTACACTTACTGCCATACTATACTCACTCATACTGTACACATATTCTACAGCACCTGTTTACCAACATCTCAGTGTGTATATATAGTTATTATTTACTGTTTATAAGATGTGTATCCATCACGGTATAGATATGTATATCTGTCTACAACCTGGTTACATTACAGTTTATACACTTTACTATTGCTCACCTGGCTACCACAGTATTATATTTTATATTATATTAGATTACCATACTTTTATTATTTAGATTCTAATTAGATTTTGTTAAACTTTTTGTTATATTGTTAATTTTTAATAAACACATATACTTTTATACATAAGAGTCCTGTTGGAGGAAGGCACAGTTGCCAACATTTCTTCACTGTAACTGTTGTGCAGAAGACAATAAAGAACTTAAACTTGAAATACAGCAGCCTATTTCTGAAAGTTATAGGCAAAAGGACAATTACCAACTGTTATTAAACAAAAATATTGTGTGGCCAGTATGTAAAATGTTAAATAAATCCACTTTAAAGTATTTTTTACATGTTTTGGAGCCATTTATTTCAAACTCTATATTAGCTGCACTATTAGTCTGAGCTTTGAAAACAAAAAAAAGGTTTTTCACTTAAAGTTTATCACAAGAGATGTAAAGATCTTCCTTTACTAGGATCATTTTGGTATGTACAAATGTTTCCTATAATGTTACACAGCCTGTGTTGAGACTGTGAAAAACTTTACTGTTAAATACCAGTTAAATTCTGTTGATCACTGCCAGGCCATTATTGTAGACAGCATATATATATATATTCATAGATTTAACGAGATGATTTAACTTTTTTTGTTGAAAAATAGTGATCATTCAAAGCCAAAGCAGAGTATTTTTATATGTATTAAAACATGTCTTTTAATGAATTTCCATATTTATCTGAGATGTTTCTAGACACAGTGTTGAATGGAAAATATTTACCATTACCAATAATTACGTCTGCAGTGTGTAAGACATGATCAGCTTCCCTAATAAGCTTCTTATAACATGATCCTCAACTATCACTTACTGCAGTGGTTCCAACCTGGGGCCCCTGCAGGGATCACATGATAAATCTGAGGAGTCGAAATAAATGAATGAATAAGAAGGAATTACCAATAAATGTTAATAAATGGCTCATTGTATGAACAGATTCACTTGATAACAGAATTTTTCAATGCCCCGGACATCACTAACATAATTTCATTTTTGAAAATCAATCAAGAGAAATACCAGAAAACAGAAACACATCAGTAATCTTATGGGACTTTTTACATTTTTGTTCCATTTATCATATTTAAGAGTTGCATAAAAATGCTGCTAAACTAAACACAACTTGCTTACCAGGTTAGGAGGCTATCAAAAACCTTTAGAAAGGTTTTGCTCATCCAGCTTCACATGAGAATTAGCTCTAATATAGCACCATAGAGGTCTGAGTCTGTAAAGTCCGCCGTCCTCTCTTCATCTGCAGTGAATTCAGGCGGGCATCACACCACTCAGAGCTCCAGGAGAGGCAGTAAGTCAAACTTAAGTCTCACTTCAAGCTCACTCATTTAGGCTTATACAAGCTAATGAAATTCTAATTTGTGTGGTACATCATATAACAAACAAACCTAAAAGCTTCAGTAGTTCTTCAAATAATGCAAATATATAATAAACATATTAAAATTAAACATGTCTTTATCCTGTTGAAACTTCTTTTCTTGAAGTTGCATATAAAAATTTAACTAAATACAATTTTCTGTTTTTTAAAAAAGCCTTAAATTAAGCAGTGATGCAGAATATCACCAGAGAATAAATGGTAAGTTCTTCAATATGTAAACTATTATATTTTGTTAACTTTGTTACCTCTACTGCACGTTTTTACATGCATGTTTGCAAATGGACTAAGACAAACTACAACAAATTCTGTCCAATAAGGAGTCAAATATTTGGGAAAATGTTACTGTTTGCAGCTAAAAACTTGCCAATAAAGGACATTTTAAAAAACAGCATCAGTATCTAACTTAAGACCTAATATGCATTAAATGTTATTTGCAACAACTTAACAAAACTCCTCCTGTGGCCTTGTTTATGTGGACCTTATAACTTTCCTGAAAGGGGCCCCTGGGGACCGACCAGTGAGTAAAACTATAGGATGGGCAGGCTAATACATGCCCATCCTTTTCAGACAATTCCTCTGACCAACTTAAAAAACCAATGGCAACCTCTAAAAGCCTGTCTTTGTCACCCTTAAACCCCAAGATGCTCTAAAACACCATTGTGCAGTTAAACCTCATAAATTTGTCGCAGGGACTGATTAAACATCACGGGAATTGAAACACTAAAGATTTTGTCTTGGTCCCTTTTGGATGAGGGACAATGGTCCATTCACGGGGAGACACGCAGACAAAAAGAGTGTTTAAGGGGAGATGCAGCGAGCTGAGGGGTTCGGCCAGTCCCCTCCATATGTGATACAAGGTGGCCCCAGCGAGGGGGACAAAGGACCAGGTGACAGGGACGATGGGCTGCAGGGTCACAGGACGAGCAAACAACATTATAGGGGGCGTGAAAAGCAGAAGACCCCCCTCGTCACTGATGAAATACTGACATGATTTTAGACACTGAGGCATATTTTTCATGATATTTAAATAAGAGTAGAAATCACTAAGGTATGTTTTACGTCTGAGAACACGATAATCAAGACTTCTCTCTAAATTCAGGCTCACAGGGAGTCACTTTTCACTGTTGAGGATAGTTTGTTGCAGCAGCCTGAGTGCACAAATAACTTAATAACACTGTATAATCTGCTTTGTCTTGTAATACACAACCAAATAAAAATCAATAAAAACTTTTTTTTTCCTTGCATATTTCTGCCTGTAAAAGGCATTTTGCTCCTTAACGGCACCTGTTCAGTTTTCCAGTAACACATTTAGGATTAGTGCCTTTAATTCAGCCTGTTGCACCCTCAGAAATCATATTCTCTTCAAACCTACAGTAAACAAACCAAGATCTCCACATAAAACCTGAGTTTAATTTATCCCACTTGCTTTAGAATAACAAAAGTTAATTGTATAAAAGTGAAAAGCAGCCCATGGGCCCAGACGACAACAGGGTGCTATAGTGAGAGAGGCTGTAATGTTTACTGGGTATTCTTATGCTTAACCAAATCCAGTCCTTTAAGGAGTGATGTTTGCTCAGCTTCTGGGTGCATAATTAGTTTTTTAACATTATAAAAGCTCCAGGCCACAGTCATGACCTGCTACATATTTTAGATTTGACAAATTGAATATATTTTAGACTACGTATTATTGTTTTAAAACTGTTAAACAGACTTTTGGAAGAGGTTAAAAACCCTTTTCAAAGAAAAAAGACAAACTTAAAAAAATATTTGTTTGTGTGTCTGTTTGTTTTGTTTTGAGAAATGGATGCAGATGATGCTTTTCGGGGGCTAAACTTGAAAAAGAAAGCACATTACACAGTCACATGTATCATTCAAAATATGAGAAACTTTTTATTAATAATTTTGTTCACAATAAGAAACAGTTTAAACAGTTAAAACCTTTAAAGAGAGTCTCCTTAAAGACAAACAATAACATTTTTTTCCTTCAAACATTCAGGCTAATAGTGGCTTTGCTATACATCTTCTTCTACCTCCTCCTACTGAACCTTATTTGTCTTCAACAAAAGTTATTCATACAAATATTATGTTTAAACAATTTTACATACAAATACAAATACATTATCTCACCGGATAATTCAAAATCTACAGGCTACACCAGTAAGCCCATGGATGAGAAAATATTATCAGCAGTTTAAAAAAATAGTCACAGACACACGTAAAAATATGAAAATAAAATGTGCAAAATATCCTTCGTTCTATAATGAAAATCTAAATGTTTAAGTTGCTCGAAAAATTTGCAGAACATTCAGAAAACATTTGATGCAATTCTAAATGAGTTTGTGCATTGACATGAGGCCTTCATTTGAAAGAATTAAAGTGGATCGAGTCGCTCCAAAAGTCTCTCCAGGCGAATCTGGAGGCCGCTGCGGTGGGAAAGTGCTGCTGGTACCTCGGAGGAAGAGCGACGGGGGACGGGTGCTGAAGAGACGGGTAGGCTAAGGGGAAGGGTACCGCTGCAGAAGGAGGTAAACAGCCAGCTTTCTCCGTCTCAAGTAAGCAGGCGTGGAAAGGTTTCCCATCCCGGACCAGGATCGGAACAACGACTCGGCGAAGCAACGGAGGCTGCGGTATCTCTAAGTCCTGCAGCACTCCTTCTCCCCGTCCTCTCTTCATCTTGTAGCGGTGGTTCTGGAACCAGATCTTCACCTGGGTCGGGGTCAGGCTGAGGAGCCGGGCCAGCTGCTCCCTTTCTGGGCCGGACAGGTAGCGCTGCTGACGGAAGCGCCTCTCCAGCTCCAGGGTCTGGGCCTTGGAGAACAAAACCCGGCGCTTCTTGCTCTTCTTGCTCTTGTCTGGCTCCGAGTCCAGGGACGAGTCATCCGGCTTGGTCGAGTCGGGGGAGGCTTCGAGACTCCCTTCATCAGAAGCTGCAGAAATAAATAATGAAGGTTAGTCCAAATTTATACAGATATTATACGTTATATTACATATTTGTACTAGCTTCCTCTCTCTCCTCATCTATCTATCTATCTATCTATCTATCTATCTATCTATCTATCTATCTATCTATCTATCTATCTATCTATCTATCTATCTATAATTAAACATTTTAATATAACATATTTATAAACATATAAACATAAATAAATAACATATTTAACATATAAATATAGCAATACTTCCTGAGGAAGGTTGCACCATTTTCTAATATCTAGAGGTTTCTTATAATTTCAGAATAAAGCTACAAGTTGTTAAAATAAAAAATAAATATTTGGAGGGTAGGGCGGATGGACGAGTTATATTCCAATAAATTGCACCCAACATATTCAGCATCATCAACATGTACTCACATATGCAAGGGCTCCGGTCGCAGTCCATCCAGGAGGTGTATGGCGAGCTGGAGGAGCAGGAGGAGTAAACCGGGGAGGACCGCGGCGCTGCCTCCGCATCCCGCTCAGGCAAATCCAGGATGCTCCTGACGGAAAAACTGAACTTGGTCGGGGCAGCCATCGCGTCCTACGAGTGTGAGAAAAATCCGGATTTCTTTTGCGTAAAAAAAACCCCAAAACAAGCCCCTCAAAGTAAAGCTTATCCAAGGAGGAGGGAAAAAAACGCAGCGGATCCTCTCCACTTTACGCGCTGTCCAAACACAGGTCGGAAACCAATGTGTGCACTGGGCTCAGTGTTTACACAAACAGCACTCCATAAGCTGCAAACACAAGGCTGCTCCGCTTATAAAGCCTCCTCCTCCGCTGAGTACCTGAATGGCTGGAGTGCGGTCGCCCAATGATGGTAGGTGTGGAGGAAGAAAAAAGCGTCAACAATGAGCGAAGGAAACACTCGTCATCATTACAGATTCGTCCCGTATCGTCAAACTGGGAAACAGATAATGGTAATTGTTGGAGCTGAATCACGTCTTGGGTGGCAACTGACAACAGAGCCCGTCCCATCATCAAACTCCCCCCAACCCCTCCACCTCCCTTCCTCCCTCCTCCCCCCTCTGCTCTCGCCCAAACAACGTGTCCAACATTTGCATACAAAGTGAGCAATTAGCGTGATGGCTGCAAGTTGGTTTAACTAATACGTCCATTAGAGACGTATTAATTACAGGCGTGAGAAGTTTTGACATTTATGGATGGTGGAGGACTCCCAAACGTGCATTTTTTTCCCCTTCCCCCTCCCTATAAATGTCCTTTTACATATTTAGGGAATGCCCAACAGGAAAAACCTTTATCTTTTAAGTTTTCTGGATGATATATGACAATTTATATAGTAAATAGTTTATGAGATATGATAGTTTAAGATTCAATAAATAGCTACTAACACAATTTAATGTTATAATCATATATAAGTAGTTATTAATGTATTTGTCAACAACTATGACTCATCCTGTGGGCACCAACACGTGGGGGCTGCTCTATAAACATAGTAAATAAATAAACACAACACTACAGTTGTAAAAATACAAAATATGTCTTCACATACAATTGTACTTGATGATACGTGATATTATAGCGCGTTATAAACCTGTTCTAAATGTTTATAAAGTGCTTAGAAATGTTAAATAAGTTGGTAAACGTAAAGACTTAATAATAATTGTACTGCAGAGGCAAATTTATTGTACAATAAAGACTTTTTTTATGCTCAACCTCCAAAACAAGAACTTCTGACAAACAGGAGCAGTGACTGATGACTGCTGACAAGGTTTTATTAATTGGTAATCAAGATAAATTGTTGATCATTCATCACGCTTCACGCACAGAACTTAGAGGGATCCCTGTGGCTTCTGATGCATTACTGTTCTTGTTTTTCTTTTTAAAAAGGTGTTTAAGTTGAATATTAAAATGTTTAAAAGCTTGATATCCTGGTGTTAAAGCTGTCCGGTCATTCCCTATTCAAGATGACGCCTACAGGCTGATAACTTGTCTCTCCACGAATATAAAACGCATTACATGCAAAGCGTGAATCCAGCCGTATGTGGGGGGCTTTTTTTCCCCTCGTATTTGATATTGATATCGGCCCTCATCCACTTCAGCGAGGTGCATGAGGCCGGGGAGGAGAGTGGTGGTGGACATGCCTCCCCAGTCGTCCTGGGTGGTCGGGCGAGAGGGAACACAAATACATGCCAACCAGAGGAGGGGAACAAAGGGGGAAAATGTAGCCCCGCGTCCGAGACCCGTTGGAAGCATTTGTTCCAGTCAAGATTTTGCATTTGTTCAGTCCCGCAATAATGCCTGATTGACGCCCCGGCACAATGTCCTTTAACTTTGCAGGATAAATCCGAGCTTGTTCCGTGTTGTCATGGTTTTGAATGGAGCTGAATAGGATCTGGGACACTATCTACTGCTCTGCGTCTACTGCCGCCAAGTCTATAGTCCGAATCAATATTACGTGTGTGATTCAGGACGTATTAAACTCCCTTTACGTTTTCAGAGTTCAACAAAGTCGGTGACCTGTAGTATCAACCCAAAATGCTGCGAAAACCAGCCTTTATCGCTCATTTTCTACCTTTACGCACGTTACGCACAAGTGCTTCCTTGGAAAACAAACACTATTCAGCAACTTTTAAGGTTAAATTTGCTATCCCCAAAAACTGAGATGACTCACTCTCCCCTTCAAGCATCATGTCTGTGCACACAAGAGCCTCCCAGCGGTTGACAAACACCAGCGGATTACAGTACCACAGGTTTGCTGGAGTGGATAGTTTACAGAGGGCACTCGATTGGAGAGCAAAAACACGCAAAGGCAAAGAAAAGTCATGTCCAAAGAGCGGGAATTTCTCTGTCCACAATGACCCAGCAGCCTCTTAATCTATTTAACACCCGTATAGGCTTCAGCCAGAGAGGGTCCTCTGCAGCTCCCAAGAGCTCTCCACTGCCAAATATTTACTCTGTTGTTCAGCTCTCCATTCCCAATCCCTTCCTCAGCTCAGCCAAATGGAGATTTTTCTCCCATGGATTCAGTGGCTGGTTTTACTTTTCCTGGGCAACTAACCTCAATGAATATATTGCAGACTATACAATATATATATATATATATATATATTCCACAAACACTCAACCACATGCAGTGATTTACTCTAATGCCAACATTTAAAATTATATTTTAAAATTTAAAATATAATAATAACACTAAAGTCCTCCACTCAAAAATGTGTTTTACGTATTTTTACTTTATATGTTTGGGCTTCACTGTGCAGACTAACATACGTGCATGTTTTCACATTCATTTCCTCTGTGCTCACCTTAAATTTAACTTTTTTGTGACATAATTTGGAACCAATCATGGTCCAGTATCCAACTTACACAAAGGTGATGAGGAGACTAGAAACCTTGAGTACACAAACAGTGGGACGATACTTTTATCATATAAGTAGGAGACATAATACGGCTAGAGGTTAAACTTCGTAGATTCTGTGTTTTTCAATTAGAGAGAAGATGTGATATTTTATTTTATTTTTGTAAAAACTAAATCAGACACAAAGTATGATTCAAAGCAGGGTATTTTTGTACACTATATCTTCAAACATTTCTAGGGGTGAATCGTTAACAATGAGGCAATAAAAACACAGTGAAACGCTGATTACATTTATGAACTGTTGTGTCCAAACAGTAACTTAATGTTTCGATGTGAGAGTGTGAATTTGCAGCCTTTGCTTCTAAAATTTGACACATATAAGAACTCGACCATTAAAAAAAGGTTACATAAACCCCCGACCATAAGGTAACAAACAATCCACAAATAACCAAACATAAAACATGGTGGCAATATGACTTCGTCTGTTTTATGACTCCAAAACTGAGGTAGCAGTACAACAAAAATGTAATTACCCCTTGACCTTAAACTGGACTGGACAGCACAAACCCAGCAGGTTTAAGAGGCCTTTTTGGAGTAAAAAGTTAACTGAACTCGCTTCTTTCTAACTCCTCACCAACAGATTTTTGTCACTTTAAGACTTGCAGCCCCAACTGATAATAATTGCCTCAAGTGATGTCACTTAAGGCAATTGATCAGGCTGCACGGCTCCTTCTGCCGCCTCAAAAGGCTTTACACAACTTTATTGTGTAAAGCCACCATAGTTTCTCTTGCGCTTGAAAGGCGAGTTGTATTTAGTTGGTTGCAATCTGCTACTTTACCACTAGATGCCACTAAATCCTACACACTGGTTCCTTAAGTAAAAGTAGAAATACTCTTTTACAAGTAAAAGTGTTGCATTCAGGGCACCCTGGTAGCTCACCTGGTGGAGCTGGTTCCCCATGAACCAAGGTTGAGTCCTTGCTGCAGCAGCCGTGGGTTCAAGTCCGACCTGTGGCCTTTGCTGTGTTTCATCCCCTCCCCATGTCCATCTTGAGTTGTCCTTTCAAATAAAGGCAAAAAGCCCAATAAATGTTCCAAGTTAGGCTTTCAAGATTTTACTTCAGTAAAAGTATAAAAGGTATCATCATAAAAATACACGCAAAGTGTACTCAATGTACTCAAATGTACTCAAAAGTACTCATTATGCAGAGTGGGTCATTTCAGAATATTGTTTATTATAATATTGGAGAATAATTAATGCATTAATGTTGCAGTTGGTAAAGGTGACACTAATTATTGAGTATTTTATATACAGCTGGGCACCTTCTAAATTTCCCTCATCAATCAATAAAGTCTTATCTTAACCTATAATAACAGATCATAATTTATTTGATTACATTTTATATCATCAATCTGAATCTGTAAAGTAACTAGTAACAATAGTACAATATTTGCCTTTAAAATGTGGTGGAGTAGAAAAAGAGAGTACTCAGTTAGTTTAAGTACAAGTACCTCAAAACTGTATGTAAGAACAGTACTTGAATGAATGTACTTAGTTACTTTCCACCACTGAAACAGACTTTTTTTCTCCTTTAAGGCAAGTAAACAAAGCCTTACAACAGTCCAGCTGTGAAGACATAAACGTATGAATATCTTCTTGTCTTCTGCTTTTGCTTAATTGCTGTTATTGTGAAGCACTTGACTCAACTTAAGTCTGGAAAAGTGTTTTATACATAAATCTTTACATACTTAAATCCAATATCAGTGGTTATCTACAGTAGGTCACTGCCCTTTAACCAAATACACACAACGGCGCCAGTGTGTCCTCTGCTTTACATTTGTTGTCTATGCAGGGCCTCAAATTGTGAGGTTGCAGTTTATGAGTCGACCAGAGACAAAGATAAAGCCCGGGATGTTTATCTGATCTCACACTGACTGATTATCCATCACTTACCCACAATGACCCCTCTGTTACTCCTCAGTGCAATGTGGTGGCTCAGTGTAGCATGATGCTCCAGCAGCTGCACCTGCCGCTGGTCTCCTCTCCCTTCTCCCAGTCCTGTAAATACCATTAGCATTTTGGAGAGGGGCTACGGGGGATAATTACTTGGCAGCCACATCACTCCCTCTGCAGTAAACGGAGGTCTTGTGAGGCTGCTTGATCATGTGGCAGCTGTGTGTTTGCTGCTTAGTGAAAGTGTGTCAAAAAAGTCAGGTTTGTTTATACGCCGCTTTGAGACACAAAACTAGTGTGTACTGATGGGATTTTCATGAAAGAAGTGACAAAACAGGGAAAACGGGGACATCAGCAGGGAATGTTCTGGCATTATAGAAATGAAGTGTTTTTAAAAAAAAAAAAAAAAATCCAAATTAAGAGCAAAGGCACTTAAAAAAACATGTCAGATACTGAGAAAAAACAATAAATATTAACATTTTTAAAGAGGATTTTGATGGTAAATTAGATATCTGGGGAGAACTATTGTACAGTTTTAGCTCAGTCATGTTCCAAATTTTCTTTCATTTCATTTCAAACCCTGATTCATATAATTTCAGATAAGTTTAACATAAAGAAATCACCTTTTCAAATGTTTGTGTTGAATCTAAGAGAGAAAACCAAGAAAGTCCCAATATTCTCTCTAAGCTCTGTGCATGCAACATGATGAATTAGCAGTGTTTTTTATCAGTATTACCAAATAATCAGACGTGGAAGAAGAACTCAGATCTTGTACTGAAGTAAAAGTACTTATACCACAGTGTAGAAATACTCAGAAGTTGCACAGACGTATTAGAATCAAAATATACTCAAAGCACCAAAATTAAAAATTACTCCTTATGCAGATTTCAGAATAGCATAATTAATATTATTGGATTATAATTATTGATGCATTAACACCACTTTAATGTTGCAGCTGGTAAAGGTGGAGTTGATACTTGTGAATTTCCCCCAAGGATCAATACAGTTTTATCTTAACCTATAATATGCCATCATAATTTGATTATTGTTGATGAATATTGATCATATTTGTATTTTTAATCTGAATCTGCAAAGTAACTAGTAACTAGAGTTTGGAGCCCGACCGATATATAGGCCGATATTAAGCTATTGCTGACATATATGTTTCGTATCTGTGTATATGTCATCCAATATGGGTTTTTTTCTGGTATAGAAAGCAAAAAGTCCTGTAATTTTTTTAAGTTTTAAGTTATTTATTTTTTACTTTTATTCATTCTTTATCTCTGTGTTCATTTCTAGAAATGTAGCCTATATGTTAAATTATTTCACACGTTAAAGAATACGTAACTTAAATGTTCTTTGATAAAGTTATTTGTTGGAGAAAGCAACCATTCTGGGTTCCTTTTTCATTCCAGCTAAAAAGTTCACTCTATCGGCCACCATATTGGTAATGTGTGAATTTCCCCCTCTACAGACAGTATTGTTTCAGCCTCAAAAAACCCTTATCAGCTAAAATTATGACATAAATGTAGAAAAGTAGAAATAGCAGAAAATACAAATGAACCTTAACATTTTCACCACATGCAAAGATTCTCTGAAAAATAATGAAATACTACTCACTTTTGAGCCCCTTTGTTTCCACACCTTCCATCATCACAGCCAGTCACTGTTGATGTGAGTCTCAATTAGTTAATAACATCAGACACATGTAAAAAGTGACAAAGCTAACATATTATCATTACATTATAGCTCTATGTATCATTAAGTCTTATGTCAAATTAAAGTTTACTAAAGTAAACATACTTTATATTATACATACATATAAGTATACACTTTGTAAAAATATCTTCCAACCTGCTATAACAAGACAAAATACAAAGTGAATAGAGTTCCAGACTGTACTCCAGAGATACTTTGACGTAAAGAAATGTGAGTTTGCTCTCTTAGAAGATCTGCAGCTCCTGAAACTCAGAAGTCGGTCAGTGTTGGACGCCAACAACAGAAGCAGCTTCACTCATTAATCAATAATGTTTTTAAAGTAGCAACAATAGCAAAAGGCCACCATAATTATCTTTTTCTGTCCTAAAGCATTTGATCAATATGGTAAATCTGTTTTAATGCACTGAGAAAGTATAAATGTGCAGCTGTCTGTACTTTAAAGCATTGCATGAAGTGTTTCACTTACACTTATCAAACCCTCCAGACTTCAATAAAAGGTGTTGTTCATTACAACTCACATGTAAAATAGCTTCTGTTCTCTGCCTGTTTGAGTCTTCAATCAACTTTGGACAGTTCTGACTATCCTGAAACTTTTTGTCTCTTACTTCCTGAACACAAGACCTATAATTTATGAGCACAAACAACAAATTATGTCTCTGAACTGTCATTGTTAGAGCTGACTTGTTGGCCATGTGTGATACTTGGTTGCCCTCTGCAGGACACACTAATAAAAGACTGACAGACTCCTCATGTCTCCTCCTTCTGCTCTTCCCAACCAACCACAAACTGTGGGTGGAGCTCACTTTACTTCATCCTCCCTAAGTGTTTGCAGCCAGTGGTGGAGGAAGTATTCAGATCCTTTAAAAGTACGAATACCACACTGTAAAATACTCCTTTACATGCAAGTCCAGCTCTGAATATGTGAGTATAATCAACTAAATGTACTGAAAGTATTAAAAAAGTACTCAAACCTCAAAATCATTCAAACAAATTAAAATGATGTATATAATTAAAAGGAAATGCAGCAAATCCTCAAATCTGATAAGCTGGATAGCATAAAATAAACAAAAATAACATGAAACGTTTTCATATGAAAAATTAGTGAAACAATTTTCAAAATAAACTCCTTAATTAGTCAACTAATCATTTCAGCTGTACTTGTATAAGCTGTTGGGTAACAGATTTTATAAGCTCTTCATTTGTTCTGTGCAAAAATGTTAAATTGTAAAATGTCCAAATAATTGTTGTGTATAGTGTGTAGTGTGTACTAAAAAGGGACATGATAAAAAAAGACTCAAGTACTTCAAATTTGTACTTAAGTTTAAGTACAGTAAAGTTCTTAGTTACATTCCACCACTGCCTACAGACTTTACACAGCCACCATCCAGACCTGTGTGAACATGCAAAGGTTCAGTCCCTGAGTCTGCTGAAGGACGTGGCCGACAGGTTTCCAATATTAAATCAATCAATCATTAATTTGATCATCAGAACCGTTCATTTGGGTCGATGCACTTCAAGCTACCTCACAAATGAACACAGATGGAAGATGTAACACCACACTGTGAAAATATTACATTACAAGTAAAAGTCAAACCCTTATTTAAGTAAAAGTATGTATGTTGCATTTCACTGCTGTAGATGTTTACGGTTGAGCTCATTTTAACTACTTTATACTGCTAATATTTAATACTGTTGGGTAGTTTAATACAGTGATTTTAAAGTAGGGGTCTGGGGAACCCCAGGGGTCCTTGAGGGTATTCCAGGGGGTCCCTAACAAAAAGGGGAATGCTTTATTTTCACTATAATTCAATCTGTTGCCACACATTGAAAGACTGTATGACTATTTAGGTCATAGGTTCAACACACTTTATATAATAAATCCTATCAGGGGACCCTCTGATCCTACAAAATGGGGGTTCATTGGTTTAATCTACAACAAACCATCATATTCTACAAGATCATCATATGTTTGTAGCGCCGCTGTCCTTTGAGAACCACATATCTCTAAAAGTCAGCTTTTCATACGTTCAGAAACACACAGGTCCGTTTTCAGTTTTGTGACGATGCATTTTCCAACTGATCCAAGAGGGTTTAAATTTGTTTATTTAGGTTGAGAAGTAGGAGACATAAAGCTACTCCAACTCAAACTGGGTTGGAGCTGCTGCTGGTATTGTCATCTCATAGGAGGGCTACTTCTAAGTGCAAAGACTACATAATATTCAGATTTTCTTTTCCATTACTAACATCATACTAAACACAAACAATGCAAATAGCCGTTTCTATGCATTTAGTGTAATATATCATCTTTGTTTGTGGACTCTTCTTATCAACCATTTACAGGCACCTTTGACCTTTCCTGTTATTTTTGTGCCAAACAAAATACGTTTTTTTGATATATATAAATTTTAAACTGTATAGGACAGGGTAGTTTATATTTAAGTGAAACAAAGGCTGAATTATATTACCCCTGACATAAAGCAACACTTTCAACAACAGTTTATCACACACATTCAAATTCAGAATCTCATTTGGAGATACAAGGTTTTCACTGGACAGGAAATGTATGAAAAACTTTAATTTAAAAACGTAACTAAAGCTGTCAGACAAATGTAGTGAAGTAAAAAGTACAATATTTACCTCTGAGATGCAGTGTTACAGTCTCCCACTAAATATTCCTGGAAACTGTTCTTCAAGGAGGATTTGCATCTGATTCGCAAATATCCACCAGATGGCGCCACTGTAATTCGGAAGAACAGACAGTCTGGTCACAGTGTGACTCAGCAGCATCAGTGACCCTTTGAACACAGTCTGACCAACAGGGACACACAGGGAGACTCCAGGGAAGTAAAGTTGCTTCAACATTTCCGCCTTATTGGAAACATTTGGACGTATTTCTGCCCAAAAGTCCGAATTTAGGATGTTCAACATTATTAATCTCACTTCATTTATCCAGTAAACTTACCTCACTGTACCTGATCCTCCTGCCAAAAAGAAGCTGCTTCAGATTCCACTAACATGCAACTCGTCGTTAACGTTTGCAGTGAAATGCATCAGTCTCACACCATTTGCATGCCGGGAGTGTCACCACGCTGCGCGGAGGCCTCAGAGCTCCTGTGAACGGTTCTCTTCTTCATTAAGCAGAAAGAGTTACATCACTGGACTGAACTGTAGGTCACCGGGCTACTGAGGAGGAGGAGGAGGAGGAGGAGGAGGAGGAAGACATGGAAGAAAGGAATGATAGAAATTAGAATAACTTGTATTGGTTTATGTTCCGGGCATGCTCCATGTCGGCTAATTAAATAACACAAATATCAGAGTACTGCTGCCTTGTCACAGTTCTCACTGACATTATACATCTGACTCTGTCCGACCTCTGTTTGTTTATGAGGATATTGAACACTCAGTGCACTCAGTAATCTAATAACACTGTGTAAAAAAAAAAAAAAAAAAAAGAAAACGTGTGCCCAAAGCTGACTAATTACAGGAATGCTTCTGCGCTTATGCAGTGATCTTAATGGATGAAGGAAATTTAATATAAATTCAATCCAGGTATGACTCAACGATTCCTCGGGTCTAGCGCACAACGCGGCGGTGTGGTCTGCATCAACACCCCATTTGCACTTTTCTGCACAAAGGAAACGCCGCGTAAAAGCGCACTAAAGGTACAGCTCTCCATTTTTCCCAGTGTCCTTGGTTCGGGACAAAGAGCGCTCCAAATTAGGGCGGAATGAAAATATTTAATACTAATGGATGCCAGGTGCCAGACGAACAGATGTCAAAGTGATGTATGCTTAAAAGTGTCGTAAATATTGTTTCTTTTTGTCCCTCTCTGCTGAAACCCAGGCCTGGCCTCTGAAACACGACTACATACGTCGTTAACCCGCGTTCGTCCTCATTAAGGCCGCACTAAAGTTACCGGGCCACTCAGCCCGGGAGAAGTGCTAACCTGCAGAAAGACTTTAATGGTGTCACCGCCGTTTGGGCTGCAAAGGTTAGACTCATCAGTGCGGGTTATTTTAAAGGCGCCCGAGTGATGGCGTTTCCCTTAAAAAGCAGCAGCCTCCGCACATTAAAGCTCCATATAGTCTTATCTTATTTGTATCAAACAGCTGGAGGCGACACCACTCCCCTCTCTCCGCCGTAATAACCCGGATTAGTGGCGCGTTTGGGGTGACAAACTGCTGGGGCCTTGTTTCTGAAAGCAGCAACACACACACACACACACACACACACACACACACACACACACACACACACACACACACACACACACACACACACACACACACACACACACACAAAACTCTTCGCACGTGTGTATCTCATTGCAGATGTCAGTCAGTTTTGGGGACAGTTAGTATGAGATGACAGGCCTCCAATCCCTCTGTGAAACAAGAAATCACTGCGCGTCCCCATAATAACCTATTAGTGGTGGCTTTGGATTTCCCACAGGACCTTACTGGGAACAGTAAACCGGGAAACTGGGAAAAAAATTTTCTCTCCCCCCACCGTCCTGCAGGTTTCTCCACGGAGGATCAGGAGGATTAGAAAATCTCCACTTTTCTTTTTTTTTTTTTTTGGTTCTGTTTTGTTTTTTTGGACCACAAAGAAGAATCAGTTGACGGATTACAGGCAACGCGTCTCAATTCAACTGCAGTTAATTCTCTAAAGAAGAAGAAGAAGTAGAAGAAGTGTTTTCATGTGTTGAAGGTTCAGGCCCACTGAAACAAAGTCATGATGTCAGGTTGCAAGAAATTTAACGCGGATGGATCTGATTATGACTGAAACAAATCACTGCATGGGAAATAGATTCTGTACCGCTGCACGACATAATGATGGGTAGCCTTATAATAATAATAATAATAATAATAATAATAAT